GCGTTGTGCAGCGCGCGCGCCCGACGGTAGTACCCGAGCCCGGACCACGCGGCGAGCACGTCCGCCTCGTCCGCGCCCGCGAGGTCGCGGACGGTCGGGAACCGCGCCATGAACTCGCCGAACTTCTCGATGACGCGCGACACCTGCGTCTGCTGCAGCATCAGCTCGCTCACGAGCGACGCGTAGGGCGCACGAGGCGACGTGCGCCAGGGCATCTCCCGCGCGTTGGCCTCGAACCACCGCTCGATGTTCCGCGCGATCCGCCTGTCCCGGTCCCGGCTCATCGCGAATCCAGCAGCTCGATGACGCGCCGCTTGATCGGCCCCCAGCTCGCGTCCTTCGACTTGTTGACGGTCATCCACGAGCCGTTGATCAGCACGCTCGTCACGCCCTCGATGTCGAAGACGGACCGGCTGAACGCGTCGTCCGCGTCCGCGGGCGAGCGGTACGAGCGGATGCCATCGACGATCGGCGTGTCGCGCACGAACTTCAGCGCGTTCGGGTTGGGCGTTGTCTCCGTTCGTACGCTCACGGCGAACCCGCCCCCTGCGCCCACTCGGGCACGCCTCGGAAATCGATCCCGAGCACCCACGACACCACCGTGTACACCGCCAGCGTCGCGAGCACGATCGAGAAGATGTTGAGCACGAACCCGGCACGCGCCATCTGGCCCATCGTCACCCATCCCGACCCGTAGACGATCGCGTTGGGCGGCGTGGCCACCGGCATCATGAACGCGCAGCTCGACGCGAGCGTCGCCGGCACGATCAGCAGCAGGGGGTCGATCCCGAGCCCCACCAGCGCCACGCCCGTGAGGATCGAGACGAAGATCGTCGCCGTCGCGGTGTTGGACGTCATCTCCGTGAGGAACACCACGATCGACACGCTCACGACGATGACGATGAGCGTCGGCGTGCCCTCGAGCGCCGAGACCGCGCCGCCGATGAACGCGTCGAGTCCCGAGCTCTTCACCGCCGCCGCGAGCGAGAGCCCGCCTCCGAACAGCAGCAGCACGCCCCAGGGGAGCCCCTCCGCGGTCTTCCAATCCAGCGCGAATTCTCCCCGTTTCAGGTCGGTTGGGATCACAAACAGAGCGATCGAAGCCGCGATCGCGATCGTCGAGTCGTCGATGTTGCCCGCCACGAACGCGCCGAACGCGTTGTCCATCTCCGCCACGAACCCGCGACTCAGCCAGCTCACCACGGTCAGGAGGAACACCACAAGGACCACCCGCTCGCCGGTGGTCATCGGCCCCAGCGTGCGCAGCTCGTCGCGGATGAAGGCCCGCCCGCCCGGCACCTCCCGGATCCCCGGCCGGTGGAGCACCTTCACGAGGAGCGTCCACGTGATCGGCAGGAACACGAGCGTGATCGGCAGGCCGAGCATCATCCACTGCACGAAGCTGATCGAGTACCCGAACTCCCCCTCCAGGAAGCCGAGCAGGATCGCGTTCGGGGGGGAGCCGATGGGCGTCGCCAGCCCGCCGATCGACGCGCTGTACGCGATCCCGAGCATCAGCGCCGTCGCGAAGCTCCTCTGCTCCCCGCCCGCCTTGCTCTGCACGAGCCCGACGACCGAGCTCGCGATGGGCAGCATCATCACCGTCGTCGCGGTGTTCGAGACCCACATGCTCAGCGTCGCGGTGGTGATCATGAACCCCGCGATCATCCGCGCCGGGGAGCCGCCCATCAGCGCGAGCGCCACCAGCGCGATCCGCTTGTGCAGCCCGTGCTTCTGCATCGCCAGCGCGAGCATGAACCCGCCCATGAATAGGAAGATGATCCGCGAGGCGTACGGCGCCGAGGCCTCGCCCAGGCTCACCGCGCCCGTCGCCGGGAGCAGCACCAGCGGCAGCAGCGCCGTCGCCGGGAGCGGGATCGCCTCCGTCAGCCACCAGGCCCCCATCCACACCAGCACGCACCCCACGAGCCGGCCCGCCTCGCTCAGCCCCTCCGGCCCGACGAACGGGCCCAGCGCCGCGAACGCCGCGACCGCCAGCACCGGCCCCAGCGCGAGGCGCACGACCGCCGAGACGGGGTGCCTGGAGCCGACATCGGATGCGCTGGTTTCGGTCGCGTGCATGGTCGAGGGCGCACGATAACACCATCGCGGACGCACCGGCGCGCCCGCAGAGGTTCATACCGAAGCCGCACCCCGGCCGATATACTCGTTCCCATCGAAGGGATCGGAGGAAGGCGAACCACGACGGAGCACGCGTGAGCGACCGCATCGGCCAGATCTTCAGACGACTGACGGACTACCCCTGGTGGGAGGTGGTCATCGAGATCACGCTCCTCTGGGTCATCGTCTACGCCGTCTACCGCTTCGTCCGCGGCACGCGAGCCGCCGGCGCCCTCAAGGGGCTGCTCCTCCTGCTCATCGGCGGCACGATCCTCGTCCGACTCATCTCTCAGGGCGAGCTGTTCAGCCGCCTCGCCGTCCTGTGGGACACCTTCCTGAGCTTCGCCGCCATCGCCCTCGTTGTGACGTTCCAGCCCGAGCTGCGCCGGGCGCTGATTCACCTGGGTGAAGCGCCGCTCTTCCGATCGTCCCGTGCCGAGGTCCGCCCGGTCATCGACGCCCTCTGCAACGCCGCGACATTCCTGAGCAAGTCCAAGTTCGGCGCGATCGTCGCCATCGAGCGCAACGTCGGCTTCCGCGACGTCATCGAGACCGGCAAGGCGCTTAACGCCGACGTTTCGTCGCACATCATCAACACCATCTTCTGGCCGAACAGCCCGCTCCACGACATGGGCGTGGTCATCCGGGGCACGAAGATCATCGCCGCGGGCGTCCAGTTCCCCCTCGCGGACCCCTCCGACCTGCCCGAGGAGGGGCTGGGCACGCGCCACCGCGCCGCCGTCGGCCTCGCCCGCGTGACGGACGCCATCGTCGTCATCGTCAGCGAGGAAACAGGCGGCATCGGCCTGGCCGAGGGGCGCGACCTCATGCTCCGCCTCACGCCCGAAGAGCTCCGCGCCGAGCTCACGCGCCGCTTCACCGAGAGCGCCCCCGTCGAGGCCAACGGCGACGCCGAGCAGGCCGCCCCACCCGAGCCGGAGAAGCAGGCGAAGACCAAGCCGGAGGCGAGCGATGCTGAGTAGGGCCGTCACCTTCGTCTCCATCACGCTCCTCGCGTGCCTCGTCTGGCTCTTCGCCGAGGCCGAGAGCCTGGGCGAGTCCGCCCTCCCGGAAGTCAACGTCCGCATCGGCTCCAACAGCGCCGACCGCATCGTCACACCCTCGAGCGACTGGCGCAACCGCATCTCCGTCGAGCTCCGCGGCTCGCGCGGCGCGATCGAGGACGCCCGCGTCATCCTGGGCGAGGGGCTCACGCTCACCCCCGGCATGACCGGCGTGCCCGACGGCGGCGGCACCGTTGACCTCCTCTCCGCCGTCCGCAACCTCAACGATCTGCGCGCCACCGGCGTCGAGGTCGTCACCGTCACGCCCATCCGCACCGAGATCACCGTCACCGAGCTGGTGAACGTCAGCGCCCCCGTCCGGGCGCAGCTCCAGGGCGTTTCCGTGAGCGGCCCCGTCGAGATCGAGCCCGCCAGCGTGACCGTCCGGCTCCCCGCCGCGCTCCGGCAGCAGCTCGGCGAGGACCTCTCGCTCATCTGCGTCCCGGAGGACCGGGCGCTCGACGCCCTGCCCGACAACGGCGCCGCGACCGTCAACGGGCGCATCACCCTGCCCCCGAGCCTGCGGGGCATCGAGGGCATCGCCATCGTCGGCCAGCAGACCGCGATCATGCGATTCAGCGTCGTGAGCACGGACATGACCGTCCAGCTCGACATCGTCCCCGTGCAGGTCACCGTGCCGTCGATCGACTTCAACGAGTGGCGCGTCCGCCTCAGCGCGGACAACGCCTCGATCTCCGCGTCCATCACGGGCCCTCGCCAGATCGTCTCGGGCATCGCGGATGAGAACACCGGCACCCGCCTCGTCGGCCTGCTCTACCTCCGCTCGGACGAGCTGAACCTGGGCATCACCTCCAAGGCCCTGCGCTTCGCCCTCGTCGCGCCGGACGGCTCGCTCAGCCCGATCCCCGCGAGCGTCACGGTGACCCCGAGCACGGAGACCGTCCGCTTCACGATCGAGCGCGTCCCCGAATCCCAGTCAAACGCCGGCGAGTGACCCGCGCAGCGCGTCGACGAGCCGCCCCGGTTCGGGCGACGCCTCCACGCGCACAAGGTCCTTGAACAGCGCCCGCGTCGCGCCGAGTTCGCTGTTCGGCTCGCAGATCCGCACGTTCTCGCCCCCGAGATTCTCGGTGAGGCGGCACCGTTCCGCGATGACAGGCTGCCCGCTCGCGGCCAGCATCTCGAGCGTCCGCACGCCGGTCCACGGCTCGCGCACCTGCCAGCACGACACGTCGGCCGCTTCCCGCAGCAGCAGGGGGGAGCGGTCGTCCACGACGAACCACCGCGCCCGGTCGTGCCGCCACGCCCACCGCGCCGCGCGCTCGAGCTGGCCCGCCCCGCTCGGGATCACCGCCACCGTCGGAATCTCCGCGACGGAGAGGATGGCCGCGTGGTAGACGAGGCGCATCGCGTCGACCTCGCGCGGGTGGTCATGCGCCGAGCCGATGACGAGGGTGTCGCCGTCGATCTCCCAGGAAGCGCGCACGTCGGCACGATCGAGCGCGGCCGCTGGGAATGCGAATCGCAGAGGGAGGGTGTCGTTGGGCGGATTGTGGTCGCCGGCTTGCGGCCCAACAAGTCCCTGCCTCGCTACTTCCCAGTACTTTTGAGAGAGATTGTGTCGTGTAAGATAGGATCGCGCCGCACGACGGGCATTGAAGGGGGAATTGCCACGCGCCTGAATCCGGTCGAACCGAGTCAGCCCCGCGCCGATCGCCCGCCGCGCATCGTTCGTGTTCCCGATCATCAGCGCCCGGTCGTCCGTCCGCTCGAGCACCGACGACAGCGCGTGCAGCAGCGCCCACGAAGCCGTGTGGCCGTCGAAGACGTGCAGTATCGGACCGGTCGCCGTGGTCACAGGCGGCGGTGGTTCATCGGGTCGATCTCGTGCTCGAAGAAGACGCGGGCGACCTCGACGCCGAACGAGACGGCGAGCTGCTGCTCCAGCGCCGCCCGCGCCGAGCGGTCCGTCGGCACCGTGCCCGTCTGCGTCGGCATGCGCACGATGATCGGGTACCCGGCGTCCTGGTCGGGGAAAATCCGCTCGTTCGCGACCGTGTCGATGATCTTCACCCGCCCCCGCGCCGAGGGCGCCGCGCTCGAGCCGTCGCGCGTCAGCGTCCACGCGTCGATCGTCACGTACACCACGATCTCCGCCCCGATCCGGCGGCCGATGTCCGAGACGGACATCGGCGTCTCGTTCGATTCGTACTCCACCACCCGGATCGCCGACTGCGCCGGGATCACCTTGTCCGCCTTGATCATCTTCTTCGCGATCAGCGTCTCCTCCGCCGTCCGCCCGATCACGCCGCGGAGCGACCGCTTCGGCAGGCGCGAGGCGCGATCGTCGACGAAGAACACCGTCGTCCGCGCGCCGTCCAGCTCCGTCGCCGCGTCCCTCGACGGCGGCGGCTCCAGCGCCAGCGCGATGGGCCCGACGATGTTGCACCCGCCGGCCAGCGCCAGCGCGAGCGTCGCGAGGGAGAGAACAATCCGTGTCCGCGTCAGGTCAGCCATGGTTCAGTACTCGATCGCGTTCGCCTCTTCGTGCTCGAAGAACAGCCACGTGATCCGGTCCACGAGCCGTTTCTCCAGCATCCCGTTCACGTGCGCCGCGGGCATGTCGTTCGGCGTGAATCCCCGCCCGTCCGGGTACGCCACCCGGATGTTCTTGCTGTACGAGAAGTCGTCCGGCAGCGCCGAGCCCTTCTCCACCACGCCCACGCGCGCCACCGCGATGCCGTCCCAGAGGTACTGGTTCCCCGGCTCGTTCAGCCGGAACTCGGAGATGTCCACCACGATGAGCCGGTCCACCCCGAACTCCTCGCGCAGCTGGTCGTACGTCCAGCTGTTCCACGTCGGCGTCGTCAGCTGGAACTCCAGCACCAGCGCCGGCGGCACGAACCCGCTCGCGCCCGTCGTCTCCGTGTTCGCCAGCACCTGCGTGCACTTGTAGCAGATGTTCGTCTGCAGACGGGGGTTCGAGCCCATGATGAAGCGGTCCGCCGAGACGATCACCGCGAAGCTGTTGTCCCGCAGCCCGTCGTACTCCGCCGCGATCGTCGAGCTGCCCGTCTCCTGGTACGTCCGGGCCATCACGCCCACCAGGGAGAAGATCTGGCACCCGGACATCGACACGCCGGCCGCGAGCAACGCCGCGAGCCCGAAGCCCGCGGACACAGCGCGACGTCGCGTCCTCGTTGAGCGGAAAAATCTAAGCATGGGCCACCATTGTAGCTCTGACGGACGCCCCGTCCGGTTGTTCCCCGGAAAGACCCCCGGAAGCCCCCCTGAATGCCAACAGAACCGCCCTCGCGGGGAGGAGCCGGCCTCACCCCCACGTGGCGATCTTGTAGACCCACGACCCCATCAGCAGCCCGATCGCCACCGCGGTGCCCTTGCCGGAGAGCACGCGACCGGAGGCCGAGAACGCCCGGCTCCCGGTGAGCGCCGAGTGCAGGGCGAACCAGAAGACGACCGCGGTCGCCACCGCCATGATGGCCCCCATGGGTTGGGTGAGGAACGCGGCGCCGAGGTGCATGTCCGCGCTGTGGGCGTAGGCGGTGGTCATCCCGCACGTCGGGCACGGCGCGTCGAAGAGCCCGGGCCAGGCGCACGCCGGCAGCCCGAGCTGCTCGTGCGTCCCGTGCCCGTCCGGGGACGCGTCCATCCGTGCCGCGACAACGAGCAGCGCGAGGCACCCCGCCGCCGCTCCCCCCGCGATGAGCCGTTCCTTCACGCGTTCCATGCCCGCATCCTAGCCCGCCCCGCCCTCGCGCCACCGCGTGTAGAGGAACCACCGCTGCTTCCGCCCCTTTTCGCCCGAGCCCATCCGCGGCTGGCGCTCGAAGTACAGCTCCGCGTGCCACCCGTCGTCGAGGACGACGTGGAAGTATTCCCGCTTGAGGTACTTCTCCTTCGCCGGGTTGTGCGCATCGCCCCGCGAGAACTTCCGCCGCTCGATCAGCTCGACAACCCGACGCGTCTCGCCCCGCCACGAAAACACGAGCGGCGTCCCGGCGAGGCCCATGGTCATCGCCTCCATGTCGAACTCGGACACGGCGATCGGCTCGGAGATGAACTCGGCGGAATCGGGCTCTCGCTCGCTCATCCGGCGCTCCCGGAAAGTGAGATCACGGCAGAGCGAGTGTGCGCCCGGAGGGCGCTACGGAGCGCTCAGGTTTAGTCAAACCGGAACACGCCCTTGCGGTACCCGTACACGTACGCGATCACCGTCGTGAGCATGAAGAACAGCACGCGGAGGAGGAAGACGTCCCCGTCGCTCGTGTTCGGGTTGATGTTGCTGAACGTGCTCGCCCACGGGTAGAGGAAGATCACCTCCACGTCGAAGAGCAGGAACGTCATCGCGATGATGTAGAACCGCACGTTGAACCGCTTGCGGGCCGTGCCCACCGGATTCATGCCGGACTCGTACGTCCCCGCCTTGATATCCCCGTCCCGCTGCGGGCCGAGGATGAGCGTGAGCACGATGTTCGCCACGGCGAACGTGACCGCCATCCCGATGAGCAGGAGGATCGGCGCGTAGTTCGCGAGGTTGGAGTCGGCGAGCGTCGTGAGCATCCGTGCAGTGTAACTCTCTCAGTTTGTCGTTGCTCAGCCCAGATTCACCGGCAACGGCTGGCTGCCGGGCGTGTAGTTCGGCTCGAGCGTGATCCCGAGGGGGATCCGCTTGCCGTCCGGGCCCTTGGGCGGGATGCCGTCCTCGTCGATGATCCGCTGGATCGCCATCACGCCCTCGATCAGCTGCTCCGGGCGCGGCGGGCAACCCGGGACGTAGACGTCCACCGGGATGTACTGGTCGCACCCCTGCACCACGGCGTACGTGTCGAAGACGCCGCCCGTCGAGGCGCAGGCGCCCATCGAGATCACCCACTTGGGCTCGGGCATCTGCTGGTAGATGCGCTGGAGGACCGGCATGGTCTTGATCGAGATCCGCCCCGCGACGATGAGCAGGTCGCTCTGGCGGGGGGAAAACCGCATGACTTCTGCGCCGAAGCGGGCCAGGTCGTACCGCGAGGAGGCCGTGGCCATCAGCTCGATCCCGCAGCACGCCGTCGCGAACGGCATCGGCCACAGGGAGTTGCGGCGAGACCAGTTGATCACGCGCTTGAGCTGGGTGGTGAGGAATCCCTCGGCGGAGAGTGCGGCTTCGATGCCCATGGGCGTGTCGGTCCTTCCGTGGTGCGGTCTGAGGCGTTCGAAACGGGCTTGGCGTCAGTCTATCGGGGTTTTCTTCTTCTTGTCGCCCCCCCCGAAGAAGTCGTCGATCGCCTTGTCGATCGCGGGCTGTTCGGTCGGCTCGTAGACGTCGTACCGGAACGCGCCCGGGCCCTCGGCCCGGACGACCCGCTCATAGCACCCGGAGAGCCCGATCGCGCAGGCCGCGAGGGCGAGGGTGCTCAGGATGGCTGTTCGTCGTTTCATGCGATCAGATTCTAGGAAGTCCGAGTCCACATTGGACAGTGCCCCTCTGGGATGTCGAGAGATAGACTCAGGAAACGCCCGGAAGGTCCATCCCGCCCGAGAAGCTCCCCGTGACCCGATTCGCAGCCATCGCAGCCATCGCCATCGCGAGCCACGCCTCCGCCCAGCCGGAGGGCGTCGAGGAGCACGTCCGCCAGGCCGACCGGGCGAGCGCCCGGGGCGACTGGCCCGCGGCCCAGATCGCCTGGCGGAACGCCCTGCACCTCGTGCCCGACCACGCCGTCGCCGCCCGCGAGCTCCGCGCCCTGCACGAGGAGGGACGCGCCACCGTCCCGCTCGACGAGCAAGCGGTGGGGGCGCTGGAGGCCATCCTGGGCGACGCCTTCTATCGCGTCGAGACACCCTGGTTCGTCGTCCTGTCGGACAACGACGAGACGTGGACCGCCGCGCGGGCGGGCGTCCTGGAGCGCGCCGCGCGCCAGTACCGGCGCACGATGGACGACCTGGGCCTCGTCTGGCTCCCGCCCGAGTCCAAGCTCGTCTGCGTACTGTTTGCGCAGCACGACGATTTCGTCGCCTTCGCGCGCGAGCACGACAACGTCCAGGCGAGCTGGGTCGCCGGCTACTACGCGACGGGCACGAACCGCGCCGCGTTCTACGACGAGTCCACCTCGCCCGCCGTGATCCGCGCCGCGTCGCGCCTCGACGAGGTCGACGAGAACGCCACGCGGGAAGCGCAGCGCGACATCCACGAGGCGCGCCGGGACCTCGAGACCCACGCCCGCGAGACGAGCATCGAGAAGACCGTCCACGAGGCGATCCACATGCTCGCGTTCAACTGCAACCTCCAGCGCCGCTCACGCTCGTACCCCTTCTGGTTCACCGAGGGCCTCGCCACGAGCTTCGAGACCGAGGACCCGCGCCATGCCTTCGGCCCGACCGTCGCGCAAGACGACGTCGACGCCGCCCTCGCGACGGCGCACAAGGACGGCAAGCTCGTCCCCATACGCGAGCTCATCGGCGTCACCGACCCCAAGTCCGAGTCCGCCGAGCGCGCGAGCGTGATGTACGCCCAGTCCAACTCCTTCTTCCGCTACCTCTTCCGCTTCGAGCGAGACGGCCTCGCCACCTACGCCCGCGCCCTCTGGAGCGCCGAGCCGCGGGAACTCACGAGCGACGAGCACGCCGCCCTCTTCCGCGAGCACGTCGGCGACGTCGAGAAGCTCGAGCGCCGGTGGATCAAGCGCTCCATCGAGAACTGAGCGCAGAAAAAAGCCCGCTCCGAAGAGCGGGCTCTGAGAATCTCAGTTCGCGGTCCGGCTCACTCGCCGCCGCCGCCGACTTCCCAGCGCTCGAACGCCAGGATCGTCTGGTCGCCAGAGAGCAGGTCCTTGACCTTCTTGGAGTCGTCCTTCACGAACGGCTGCTCGAGCAGGGCCAGCTCGGAGTAGAGCTTGTTGATCTTGCCCTCGACCATCTTCGCGGCGATCTCCTCGTTCTTGCCGCCCTCGATCGCCATCTCCATCGCGAGCTTGCGCTCCTTCTCGATGAGCTCCTGCGGCACGTCCTCGCGCGTCACGCCCTCGGGGCGGGGAGACGCGGCGGTGATGTGCATGCAGATGTCGCGGAGCACCTCGTCGGCGATCCCGGCGGAGCCCTGCACGAGCACGCCCGTCTTGCCGTCGTGGTGGACGTAGCTGCCGTAGCAGACGTTCTCGCCGCTCATCTTCACCCCGCGGGCGAACGAGATGTTCTCGCCCGTCGAGATGCGGAGGTTGTCGATCGCCTTCGCGACGTCGTCGCTCGCCGTCACGGCGCCGGCGTCGCCCGCCAGCGCGGCCTTCGCGGCGTCGTCGGCGGCCTTCACGAACGTCTCGTTCTTGGCCGTGAAGTCCGTCTCGGCCCGCAGCTCGATGATCGCCGCGTTCGTCCCGTCGATGGCGACCGCGATGCGGCCCTCGCCGGCGGCGCGGTCCGTGCGGGTGTCCATCTTGCCCTTCATCTTCTTGCGAAGGAGGTCCTCGGCGGCCTCGGCGTCGCCGCCCGCCTCGACGAGCGCCTTCTTGCACTCCATCATCGAAAGGCCGGTGCGCTGCCGCAGGGCCATGACTTCCTTGGCGCTGATCTCCGTCTGCGTCATCTCTGTGGATCTCCGAATGTGTCTTCGTGTTTCGAAGTGGTGGGGGGTGTCGTTGTTATTTGGCGGGCGCCGCGTCCGTCGGGGCGCCGACCTCGGCCGGCTCGCTCGCGGGGGCGGCCTCGTCGGCGCGGAACTTGGCGCGGCTCGAGCGTTTGCGCTGCGGCGCCTCGCCGCCCTTGGCCTCGCCCGAGTCCCGGTCGCCAGAGGTCTCGACGCGCTGCTGCTTGCCCTCGCTCACCGCGGCGCACAGCTCGCGGACGATGACGTCGATGGAGCGCATCGAGTCGTCGTTGCCCGGGATCGGGATGTCCGCCAGGTCCGGGTCGCCGTCGGTGTCGATCAGGCAGATCGTCGGGATGCCCAGCTTCCGGGCTTCCATCAGGGCGTTCCGCTCGCGGCGCGTGTCGATGATCACGAGCACGCCCGGCAGCTTGGTCATGTTGCGGATGCCGTCGAGGTTGCGCTTGATCTTGCGCATCTCGCGTCGGAGCTGGCTCTCCATCTTCTTGGAGTA